TTTCTGGTTCAAAGGGTATTCCCAAGCACAGAAAAAGGAGTGAATTTTTTTAAAATAGGAAGTTCTATTTGCATACCTATAAATACATGAAATAACTGCTTTTCCTGAATTAAAGATATATAGATACACACACAACAATCATAATTTTATAAAGTCATTTAAATCATTTCAATTCTGTGAACACCTCTTAAAACAGTAAAGAAATTGAATGATCATTATAGAATCTTAATTTTTTATTCAAGTTTAAAGATAGATGATGTCAAATGCCAGACAGCTGAGCTGGTCTGCATCAATTAAAAAAAATATAAATTTCCAGGCAACTGAATAAATAGTTCTGAGGACACTTGAAAAAAATCCCTCTGAAGATTTCACCCTCCCTACTTCTGCAGTCTGAGTCTCCCTCATGCAAGTTTAATTTATGCAGTGATGGATATCCTGAGAGATGGAAGCTGTATTATAGACATGGAGATAAAATAATCCCTAAGTGAGAACCAGTTTGGTCTCAGTAACACTATACTCAGCACTGCAGGTAAAATCAATTTCATTAACTTTGCTAGTTAGCATAAATATTAACTTCGCCAGTTAGCATAAATATAACCTTTCTGATTAAAGTACTGGTTTGTCAGAGAATCAGACTCTCCTCACTTGGGTAATAATCCAGTATAATTTAAGGACAGTTCTCCCAAGTAAGGCAAATAATCTCCTCGTATACTCCCTCTCAAAACCGAGTGGCAACTCTCTGGCCTAAGGTTTTGTGTTTGTGCCATCTTGTCTCTCCTGAACCAAAGGCCAGGTCACATTAAGTTTGTGTCCTTTAGCTTTCCACGAGGGAGACACCAAGCACCACGAAATATATCATATTGTGGGGCCTTTCAAATGAGATCATGGAAACTCAGCTCCTGCTCACCAATGATTTGAAATAACCTAATCTTATAACACACTGAATGACTCTGGCAAAATGCCTGAAATCCCATTCCTCTGGATATCAGCGCTGAGTTATGAGGTACCATAGCTTGCCAAAAACGGACCATGCTCTCAGGGCATCTTTTCAAGCCCTCTTGCCCTACTCCTGCTGCAGCCTAATTTGTGGCACGCTCCCGAGGTGCTTGCAGAGCAGTCTAAGGTGCAAAGAACTGAAGAATTGCAAGGCTCAATCCATCTTTTGGCAAACACAGTGGAAAAAGCCTGCATGGTCTTTACAAAAATAGGATTGGTTTTCTGGAAGCCATGAATGATTTGTGTCTAGTAGACTCCCAGATTTTGGCCTTGTGCTTCAAAAGCATTTTTTGCAATAATTCAACATATAGCCCTACGCCGCAGGGTAAGATCCCGGTCCTTCACAAACACAGCTATTCTGCGTGGGAGGCTGAAAGCACTCAATTTTTATGTAAGCCCACCAGCCCTGACTTCCTCTACTCCTTGCAAGATGCACTCTGCACTCAGTGCAGAAATCCATAAAGATCCTTCCCTCTGGAATGGAAGTGCTGGGTCCCAGCTGCAGGCATAATGCAGGAGTATTTGTTTGAAGTAGAAACTATGTCTTTTTTGAAACAAAACACACTGCTGCTTCAACTAACCCTACCAAAATGAGATTCACAGAGTTCCGCCCCAAGGAGAGAATATGAGGGAGAATAAATGCAGATGGCAACAATCAATCTCCTCGCTCAATGAGCTACCAAAAAAGTCCTTTGAGATGGCAGCAATAAGGGCAAAGCAAGGCTCCATGCAAATCAGAATAGATGTGTGCATATATACTTGTGTGTGTATATTTAAAATAAATCTCTTCTTTTTATGTTCTTTGTTCAACTACATTATCAAAAAGAGGTTTTAAATACAAGCTTATGGGACTACTAAAGAGGTGAATTTATGAATGTATTCCTAACAAAACACACTCTGGAAAGCTTTAATCTATGAATTGTGACAACCTTGGACAAAATGGATTTTTAATAGAATATAATGTAAACTGCCTGAAACATTGTGATAAGGAATTTTTTTAAGTAATGCACAGAAAAGGCATGATGCACTCTGCATGAAAGGAGGAAAGGTCTTAATTTAAAACATTTTAATGAACACTCAATTTGCGTAGGGAAATGTGAGAAATGGAGATGAAAAACTCATGATAGCGATATCACTGCAGAGGGGAGAAGGAGAAAGATTAGAAAAGTAAGCAAATTTGAAAAGGCTCCAGCCGATAACGCTGGCTAAAAGGAATGCAGACTGGATTACGAACATGTCACAGTCCAAAGCCACTGTTCTCCTTGCAGGCAGTGTCTGTCGGTGGCTCTTATCAGAGTTGCACACTGGGGAAGAAAGAGCAACCGAAGTGCAAAAGCAGCAGAGAACAGACCTCTCTCTGAGCTAAGGGCAATGAGGATAATCAGAGATTTTGGCAAATGCAGCTGTAACTTGCTGGAGTTTCTCACTTTCACCAAACCCCCCAGAGCTGTGCCAGCCCAGCCGGCTTGCGGGGCTTTCCACCCCCTCACAAAGCCCAAGGGGGGTTGCAAAACCATAGCAAAAATGGCCACCTCTTCCCCAGAGAAAACCCTCAGAGGCTCAGCCCTGGCTTACCCACTTCTTTACTACCAGCATAACACCCAGCAAGTCAGCAGAACCAGAATTACTTCCAAGAGAGAAAAAAATCCCTGTCTCCCCCGAGGTAGATACGATTCTGTTTACTAATAGCTTCTGCTCTGCAATGAAAGAGATTGATCCTGCACTCTCACTCATACATAAACTGCCTTTAATGAAGCTCCTTGAATTACTAAAAGGAGGAACAGATGAATCGGGTCTAGTGACAGTTGTGCCACATTGGCCTTAACAGAAGCAAGTTCAGGTGGGCTCATTTAAATGAAACAGCAGAATCCCCCCACAAACACTTAACATCCTTCAAAAGAAACAAGAGGGCCACCATTATGTCCAAAAAGGCAAATTAAAGTAAAGATCAAAGTTAAATATTTACCCTAAGCACTACAATATTTGCAAATCTGGAAACGATCTTTCAAGCAGTTTCTATTTGCATACTTTAATTAATCCAAAAATATTAAACTAATCTCACAAAGGAAAGGGTCAAAGTATTAATTAACTTGAGATTCGTTGCTTTTGTGCAATTTAACAGTTCAACACAAAGCAAAAATCAGTTTTAATACAAACTAAGTTACTGTGACAGGTATAATTTCATGGATTAGTGAAACCACGTACAAGGCAATAAGTTTCAGTGTTCGTTCTATTTTTTGTCTAACTTTAAAAACAGTTCTTTCATTTCAATAGAGAGATTCCTCTGTGACACCAAACGATCTTAAGTTTGCCTTTAACCTCAGCGTTTCACTTTCAAATTTATGGCTTTCCACCTTGCACTGACCAGAACAGAGGTCACAGCTGTTTTAGCAAAAAACCTGAACCTGCAACATTCAGCAGAGAGCAGATTCTGCACAGCCACCCAGATCAGCCATCTGAGCTAATTCGGGTTGAGATTTCACTGCTGGAGCCATCATCTGTCATCACGCAGCTCCAGAGCGGGTGCGATGGTTCCCCTCTGAGCCAGCATCTCTGCTGGCTGAGCTCTCCCCCCCACCAAAGGGACTCACTGCCTTCTTTAACAGCTTTTGGAGGAACTGGGAAATCTCGCCGAAAGACGACGGATTTGGAGACAAAGCGTATGGTGCCAAATCTAGCTGCTAGAGCTCTGCTTTATCAGTACAGTAGCCCATTATACCCCAGCAAAATAATGACGGAAGCTGGCTTGAATGTCCTCAGACTTGCAACTTTGACAAATGTACTTAGGAAACAAGAGGGGACTCTCCCCTTCCCCTCCCCCCTTTTTTTTTAAATGGGGAGGAAGTGCGTGAAACAGCCAGGTTTGCCTGGCATATCATGCCAGACAGCTCTGTAGCACTTGACTTAACCAGAGACACTGAGCGGGGAATCACCTCCCCTGGCTTCACGCGTTTACAATGCAAATGTCTGCGTCCCACTCAGTCGCCTCCACTCTGCGTCTTCACTAGAGAGAAACAGGCACTTTCCTCTTGCTGTTCATCAGACCTGTTTTATGCATCCAAGAGAACTCTCACCTAAACAGTGCCTATTTATCCCCGTTGCTAAAAAGCAAACCCATGGATAAATAGCTTTCTCCTCAACACTTATATCACAGGTACCCAGAGCTAGATGGGATTCATTTGTTCCTCAAATACAGTTTCAGGAACTAAACAGAGTAGAAACTCTCTTCGCACAACCAAACCTCCGGCAACAATCTTCCTAGGTCTAAGCAATTACTAATAACTGTTCTTCTCCCTTACAGGAGCTTTCCGAAAAAGATGGATGCAAGAAACTCCTCAAATAAAAATTCAGACATAAATTTTTGTGAATTCCTAATTATGATACAATTTCAAGCTAAATTTATGCACAGTCTACTTTAAGTGTAGAGTAACTGCATGATAATGGAGAGAAATTACTTGTATTATAAAAATACGTAGTTCTGACTAACAATGTAAATTTGTCATTACCTTTGATATAGCTTATAGGAGCATTACCATAACAAACGTACGCAGCATTCGTGAGACAGTTAATAGACACTCATAGGTGTTTTGCAGCAATAATGAATAATACTTAATAGCTATTACTTTCATAGCTTTTCAAATAAAGAAGACAGCACTGTCCTATATCGCTCTCAATTATTCTTCATATTTCTCTATTTTAATCCATTTCTTCCTGTTGGCTCTTTGGCAACAGGAATTCTCCCACTGCCCTGAAGGTGCATGAAAAGCAAATGCGAGCCAGGACTAGTTGGCTGCCTCCAGTTTCATTAGATCACTTACTTCCAAAGCTCAGAAGTGAAACAAAAGGAAAAAAGCTCTTATCAGATCACCTATAGCTTTTCCAAGGAGGCTGAGGAGGAAAAAGTGCTGGTATTAAAAGAGCAATATGACTCATTGAAGAAGCTACAGTATGTCCCTCTCAGCATTTTAGCAAGGGTTAATGCACAAAAGCACTTGGCAGCTTACCTGTTCTCTGCGTTTGGGTCGTTGTGCACACATGTGATCGTGGCAGTGGTCCTTGCGCTGTCCGTCTCCTCTTGAACACCCCACTGGTCTGCATCACTGACTCTGATGTCCGTGATCTTCACACCTGGGGCTGTCCTAATTCTGTTGGGGAACAACAGGGGTTGCTTTATTTACAGATCTCCTGCAAATAAATCCAGAGAGGTAAACAAGGAAGATGAAAGAGGAAATATTCCCTCTTCCATTAATAATAGACTGATACATTGCAACTGTAAGTCATTCAGCTTTAAAAATATAAAACAGGTCCAATCATTTTAAAGAGATGAAGTATGAGTTTCATTATGTGCAAAGCCAGTTAATTTTCAGCTTGAACAATGTGGAGAGAATAAGAATGCTTTCTGCTTCAGTGGCACCAGTTTGATACAAATGAAACAGATGTGACTAAGCATAAGTTGATTTAATTTGTTGTGTCTGTCCTGCAGTTTAAGATGGAGAATCAGAGCACCGTGATATAAAATACATCCTCCTGCTCGCAAACCTTTGGGAGCAAGGTGCCTTTTAATATTAGAGTGATATCCATGGAAAAAAAAAAAAAAAAATGTGTTTCACTGCTCAAAGACCGTAACGCAGGAAGGAGAGAGAAGGAATAAGTTATCCCAGATCCGGGACTGAGGGATGAAAATAATTATGCCATTGTACTGGGATCTATCAAACCAGGCACATCAAACTCTTGCTGCTGAAAATATTATGATCCTGACATGGAAAACCCTTGATTTCCTAAGCATGGCTAGAGTCTGAAAGCAAAAAAAAATTTGCTTGAAAAAAAAAAAATTCCATGCTCTAGTGGGGCTCAGTGTTAGGAACAGACTGCCAAGGAATAGGAAACAAACTGCTTTTAATAGCAGGGATTTCATTTGTGCAGCTTGACTCCTGAAACAAGCCTGGGATTTTGACAGGAGTGCTGCAAATATGCCTGGAGAACAATTAGGCAGAAAGCAACTGCTGTAGCACCACATTCGCCACTACTGTGACTTAATTAATTAAAAGCAAAGCCAAGAGGGACCTCTTAGTTGTATGGTGGAATGAAACAGCACTGCTGGGACTTGAAGCATTACTTAACAGTGAATTGTGATGGATTTGCCCCGATGCCTCGTGGCCAGTTGGTGCTCATGTTACACTATTAACAATTTCCTTTAAGTTCTAGCTGAGTTCATGGGTTTGGATCAAAGTAATGTCAAGACTCAATGGGTGGTCTTTTCCTCTGAGAAGGAATTAATTCATCCTGCTTTTATGATATCCTTATTTTGCCCATAAGGCTTTGCTGACTTGATGGGCCAAATTCATGCCTGGCATAACCAATTTGATGAAAAATGTTTCCTGTAAGGAGAGAATTTTACTTGGTATTCTTATAATTGTCTCCTTCACATTTCTGCATAGACATTCCTGTCTCCAAACAACATGCCTCAAAGCTATGTGCCCCTTTCCTATCATCTCTTCTTTTTTCAGGGGAACATTCATTTATTCTGTAGTAATTACACTGGACCAAATCATTCCTGCAAGACACCTATATGGCTTCATTTCAGACTGACTGGTAATTTATATGAGAGAGAGAATTAGGCCTTCAGCAATGGATTCAGTGATTTTTTCCATTAGTTTTTTACCCGCTCTTGGGAAAAAATCATTATAGCCTGACAAAAAAAAACCAAAACAAAAACACACCGCTTTTAAAATTTTCTCTTTCCCAGCCAAAATTATATTTCTTAACAAATCTGCCTCCCCACCACCCCCTCAATTTCTTATGTTTTTTTCTAGACAACATGTCTGGGAACCTCTAACCTGACTTTCCACTCAAGTCAAAGCCCTGGTTAATGAAAGGTTAATTGAAGGGCAGGAGATTCTGGGAGAAGGGGGGGCAGGACAGCTGGATTTTGCCCATGATTTCAGGATTCATCACAGCCTTTTTCCATCTGTCAGAAGCTTGTTATGTCCTCCTACACAGCTTATACACTACAAAGATCTTCACTCCGCAGCATTTACTTTCTTCTACTCTGATCCGAATCTAGCACGTCTGTTTACCCCAACGGGGATGAAAAGCAACATGGCACAATTCCCTGCCATGCCTGAGCAGGCTTTAACCACGCAGGACCCCTGTGCCACTCCCTTCTTCATGGAAGTGGGAGCCGCTCCTCCTCTTTACCTCCATCAGTGGTCCCCACACAGCGTGGAGGTAAGGGTGCAAGAACCTCAAATATCCACATCCACCTCCACGCCCAGCTGTTCCAACCTCTCCAGACAAGCTGCACCCCAAAACACGGGCATCCCTCTTGGGCCAACCACTCAGCTGTGTCTGCCTCCCTCAGCCAGGGAGCTTTGCTGTTTCTTCTCTTGTGTCTGAATGCAGCTACGAGATGCTTTTTGCCCAACTGGACAGCAGATGAACCTCTCCCGATGCCTGTCCTGTAGACTCACCACTTGGCTTCTCCTTCAGGGCACTATCCCTTAACAGGAGGCCTTCTGGTTTTTGGCAATGCTGTCTTCTTGACTGCACCCACAGCTTTTGCTTGCTGCGTATCTACTGTCTTGCTGGGTTAGCATCAAGTGAACATCACATACTCTGCTTCCCATCTACATTTTCCAAAAAAGTCTCAGAATGCTGCATTTTAGGAAAATTTCCAGTCTAATCCCCTGCAATGCATCTGCTCTGGTGGGCTGAAACAAGATGTCATTTTGCATTTTTGGATATCAGTAGAGCCAGGAAGGTTGAAAGAAGAAAGAAACTGAATTCAGCTTCTCACTTAGGAAAAGTCAAGAAATTCAAATTAAACCAGCCTACATATGGGAGGTTTGAGTCTACTATTCTTCAGATAAGTGATTCATATCTTTAAATCTGCCCCCAAACTCCACAGGCACAAAAATTATTATAAGTGTTGGGGACTGAGGCTTTGCAAAAGAATAAAAAATCCCTCCCAGCCCTGCCATTAACTGGAGAAAGGATGGCGAACGGCTAGTGTGAGAGCCCAGGCGCTGGGTTTGTTGCCCTGCTCTGTGCCAGGCTTCAATTATAAGCTTGGGTGGATCATTTAGTTTTCTTATACCTCGTTTCCCCACATATAAAATACTGGGAAGCGCTGCTCTCCCGACTCCAAGGGAGCTGTGAGGATAAACAGAATTGCCTGAAAAAATCTGATGTCCTTTGAATTTACCAGCTGACAAAAATACTGCCATCTCTGGGCTTGAAAACATGGAAACAATTTACTGAAGTATTTCACAAAAGCATGACCCAAGAAGTAACTGTTACCACTAGGATGGATTAATTCCTTTTTTATAAAGAGAATTGAAATGGGGAAAAAAAAAAAAAAAAAAAAAGGAAAAAAGGAACAAAACACAAGAACCAATTAGAAATTTGGCAAAACTATAATTTCATTTCTATGCAATACTTGCCTTCTGAAAAGCAGAATTTTCAGACAGAAAACTGTCCTGCTAAAAAGCACTTGCCCACCTTTAAAACATTACAACTTATGTGGCATTTTGATAACGCAGTTAGCAGAGATGTGAGACAGAGGAATACTGAATGAGCTCAGCAGAAGTTAGCCTGCAACAGGGCCCCCATGTTACAGCCTGTAACCACAGCCTGTATCACAAATGAGGCGATCACCATTTATACATGATGCTCTCTTCTTTAGGGGTGGAGAAGGTCCAACAGGAACACAACATCCTCAAGCACCACCTTTCGTGACACTGATGCCCATAAGACCTCAAGAGCAGGTAGCTGGGGGCAGGAGGGAAGTGTCAAAGCTATTCAGAACAGGGCATCAATGAAAAAACTGCTTCATGAGTGAATTTAGCCCTCTTCTCCAGCTATAAATGCAGAATAGAGGATGCTGCTTTCAATTTAGACTGCGGAATACATTTGGTATCCCTGGCAGTGGGTTTTTTTTCCCCTAAACAGTGTGTCCTCCATTTACTATGGAATATTGAGATGGAAACATGATAGACTGAATGGAGCAGGCAAGCAGAAGCCTCCCCAGCCTGCCAACTTGGAACACCCAGAAACTATTTTAAAATGCAATCCCAGCCTTAAATGTATGCGACCCCATGAATTCCATAGCTCTAAACCTCTTCCCTCTGTTATTACAATAGAAGGAAAGGAGAAGGTACAAGTAATCATCGGGGCTGGAAAGTAACTTAAGGGCTGCAAGAGGGATTTAAACAGCCAAGCGCTTAGCGGAAGTGGTGCAGGGACTTCCACTGCCTCCCAGTCAATTAACTGCAAAATCTGAAAGGTAAATGCTTGCTTGCAGTACACCCCCAGCAGCAGTAATTGGGAAGCAAAATCTTGGCAAAAGGAACTTTAAAATAGAAACAGAAGGAAAAGATATTTAGGAAATAAACCGGGAATGTGCTCACAGCAGATGGAAAATGCTCAAAATTATGAGGAAAAAAGACTTTTTCAGAGCTATTTTAGAAATTCCTTTATCTCCCCCCCTCCCCCAATACAGGGGAAAACATGATCTGAGCTAAATTCACTCTCAATGACATACTAATAATAACAGTTATGATAATAAATTTCATTTGTAATTTCCAACCATTTCTGTATTCAGCCCTTCAACATGCATTTTTAGCCCAATTAAAAATAAAATCATTATCCTTCCCCTACAGGAAATTCAAGCTGTAGGCCAGTTTAGTTAACTCGCCTAAAATTATACCGTCTCTGCAGAGCCAGAATGAGGGTCGATAACATCCTGATTCCCAGGCTTACACTTCAGCTAGACACCCCTACCCATCTTTAAGACCAAACCAGAGCAGAGCTGTGTAATTCCGAGCCCTCACAGAGCATTTTACATATTTGAAGTATTGCACAAACAGCAAGCAATTAGTTCTGAACAAGGTCCCTGGGGAGTTTCTAGTTAAAATACATGTGTTTTAAGATACATTAAGCCAAGCTCCATAAATTATAATAATCACTGAATTCAGACATAACATCTGGGGACTTTCGGGGTGTGGGTGAGATGGGCAGCATTTCTGTGTAGGACGGAATAGAAGCCTCCCCGTATAGGGGGAAGAAGCAAGTGGAGTTTGCTGGGAGACAGAAGGAGAAGAGGGTATGTGCTTCATAGCTGCCACATCCAAGTGCATTCCATCTG